GAGTGTAATTTATGCTGATAATTGTTTTTATTGTACATAGTTTTGCTGTGGAAGAGTTAAAAACCTTTTCTTTTTATTTAGACAAAAAGAGGGAAATGTTGCAGGATATTCAATCACACTGTGAACTCGGAGACTATGTTAATTAAATATAATCAGTCTTGGGTCAGGAAGTGGAGCCAGCAACCAGCTGACAGAAAGTAGTGATAGAGAGTTCGAGGGAGTCCTGAAGATGGAGAGAGAGGAGTGCAGAAGTAGGAGGGTAAGACTTTGAGTGTGGCAGTCTTTTCTGTTTGGGGCGGTGGAAGGCCACTCTTGCTGGGTCTCCAGCCACAGAGGAAGGTCAGCTGGTTGCCTCTCAGCCTCTCTGAGCTAGCAGGTTTTCACTCCAGCATCTGATTCCTGAGTCTTTATTGGTAAATAGAATGATAGGATTTAGTTACAAACTGTCTTTGGCTGCAGTGGCAAGAGGTGGTTCCAGCTGATCCAAATCTTCTGCGGGGCTTCTGTCTGCGGGTGAGCAGTGATGGCGGAGCTGCAGTCAGCAGCTGAAACAGCAGCAGAGTCAGGTGCACCCCTCTTTTCATCTGTCCTCAGGGTCCAGAAAAGCCTCGGATGGACTTAGAAACTTAGGCAGAAAAGATAACTGACAATACCCGGTGAGGTTTCTGATAAGGGGCTCCATGTACCAAACCTCCTGATATCCACCACTTCCAGACTGGGAGGAACTGACCTTTACTGTCCTATAAATTTCTAAGCATTTAGTCTCTACTCCCTCAGAGAGACTGTGGCCCTTTTGTTCTGCTGACTAAAGAACAGCTCTGCTTCTGGAGAGGCCTGTCTTCTTTCTATTATTTCCGTCTCCTCAGTCAATCCCAACCTAACAGTTTTAGATAGGTGTAATGGAGCACACCTTTAATCCCAGCACTCAGGAGTCAGAGGCAGGTGGATTTCTATAAATTCCACCATTCAGAACTAGGGCTGAGGATGTAGTTCACTGTAGAGGGTGTGCTTGGAATGTATGAAGCCCCAGGTTTCACCCCTAACTCCATCAAACAAATATCAGAATAAAATGCAGTGTTACTCAGCAATTCAAAACCTAGGGTACAAAAACATGCATGAATATTCACAAACATTATTTATAATAGCCAAAAAACAAAAACAGGGTTTAGAGAGATGGCTCAGTGGTTAAGAGCACTGGCTATCTTCCAGAGGACCTGGGTTCAATTCCCAGAATCTATGTGGCAGCTCACAACCATCTTAACTGGTTTCATAGGATCCAACTCCCCCTTTCTGGCCTCCTTGAGCACCAGGTATACACACGATGAAGACATACATGGGGGCAAAACATCCATACACATAACATAAAAAACTAATAGTAAATATTAAAACCCTGCATGGCCATACACAGAGAAGCAACATGAAGTACAGGCTCCAACAGATTACTCAACCATGAAAATAAATGAAACGTCCACTCATGCAAGCCATACAGAAGAGGCCACATGTTTTACAATCCCATTTATATAAACACACAAGAATACAAACTTAGAACAGAACGGGGGTGGGCGGGAAATGGAGGACATTGATGTCTAGAAACTGAGTGCTAATGAGAGCTGACTACTATCCGAGACTACAGGATGCTCTAGAGTTCAGTAGTGACGGCAGTACAGTCTTGTGGATACAGAGCTACTGAAGCACACATTTGAAAAGAATTGTACACTGGGTGGTGATGGCACACGCCTTTAATCCCAGAACTTGGGAGGCAGAGGCAGGCGGATCTCTTGAGATCGAGGCTAGCCTGGTCTACAGAGTGAGTTTCAGGACAGCCAGAGTTACACAGAGAAACCCATGCTTCGAAAACAAAACAAAACAAAAGATTTTACAATACGTTTTTCGAGGTAGGGTTTCTCTGTGTAGCTTTGTAGCCTATCTTGGAACTTGCTATGTAGATCTCGAACTCACAGAGATCCGCCTGCCTCTGCCTCTCAAATGCTGGGATTAAAGGCGTGCGCCACCACCGCCCACCTCTTCAATTATAATCTCTAAGACAATTTTATAACTTCTCTCCTGTTCTCCTCCTTCAAATGTTTCCTGTGTGATTTCAGGGCCTGGATCACAATCTAATCAAATGCTCAGCTCAGAAACCTACGAATTCTAACCATCCAGTCACGACAAATCTATCACGTAATCTGTCTCCATTCTCTTTACTGCGCACCTTTCTGACTCCCGGTTTAAGGTGCTGCCTCTTTCACCCCGTTCACAATCTTCAGGCACAAGCGAGGACCTCCACCTCCGGGTGAAGCTGAAACCCTTCACACGACTTCACCGGGGCTTCTCAAGACTGCGCTGCACTAGCAGGCACTCTGCCTGCACCTGGCGCTTCTCCACCTGCGTGTCCCATGAGGGGATGTCACCGCATTTTGTTTTTCTTTTTTTAAGATCTATCTATTTACGTACTTTATGTGCATGAGTGTTTTGTCTGCATGTGCATTTGCATACCAGAAGAGGGCATAGGATCCCATGGGACCACAGTTACAGATGGTTGCGAGCCACCAAGCGACTGCTGGGAACCGTTAAGCCCCGCCACCGCACTTTAAACACGACAGTCACTACCCTCAACCCGAGGCTCCACAGCACTTAGTAGAATTCACGCAGCGCGCGATGTCACCGTGCAGCCAGCAAGACGTCACCCCCGGCTGGCCCCGCCTCACGCTGTCCGGAAACGCTTGCAGCTGCACAGGAACACCGGAAAAGGACCCTCGCTCGCTCTTCAAACCCAACACTACACACAGTGTTGCGCGCGCGCAGGCTCTGCGCCTGCGCACTCGTCCTGCTCAACTCACAAGCCTCAGCGCGCAGGCGCAGTCCGACGGCTCTCGGTTGAGAAGGTGCGGCCGCTGCGCGGGAGGTAGGAGGAGCCGGGCATCGGGCTGGTGACCCGGCGGGGGTGTGGGGCCTGACAGTTCCCGCGGTTTCCCCTCTCGTGCGAGCCCGGTCGGCGTCTGTCTCTTCCGTCGGCGCCCCCGGCCACGGAGTGGCAGGAGCTGTGCTCGGTAGACAGGGGCAGCGCCCCGGAGGGAGGTGGGGACAGCGCCCCGGAGGGAGGTGGGGACAGTGCTGTGGCCACCGGACAGCCCAGCGCTCCGAACGGTCTGTCTGGCTTTAGGACCGCCAGGACGTTTTCCCCGGCAGTCCTTCACTTGGGTCTCCAGTAAAGGTACGCGGGGAGGCTCTGCCCCGCCCCCCATCCATTCATTCCCGCGTCGCCTGCAGGGAGCTGGCAGTCAGGTAGGGTGCCCAGGAGGCCGAGTGCTCTGCCCTCTGGAAGCTGGCGGCCTGGTGGGGTCCGTTATGTCGTTTAGTATATATTGGTGGAGCACCTACCGGAGGAGAGGGACGTCTTATTACTCGGTTGTCAGCGGAGATGTGGGGCCTCAACACTGATGGAGTGTGAAGTCTGCATATCTAGCATGATAAAATTCAGTTTGCTTTTGCCTGATGTCCCGGGCCCTTGTGCCTGAGCTCTCTCTCCCAGCAGACCTTTCCCTCTCCCATTGCTCTTCGCTCCCACTGTATCAAACCCTTTGTAGTTTGTGGATTCAACAGATAATTGGGTACCCGACAAGCCACAGAGATTATAAAGTAAATAAAATCTGTATCTAACTGAGGGGTTGAACTTCATTAACAGATAATTCAGTGAATAAAAACGTAGGATCGTAGGACCTGAACCGCACTGCCTAGAATCCCTGCCCTGCCACTTCAAGACTGTTCCTCACTTTGCTTGTGCCTGATTCCTCGATCTAAAGAAAAGATGATGGTAGATTGTATTACATAGGATTGCTGTAAGGATTAAATGAGTTAAAGATTTAAACAGCACTTGGTGTAGCGTCTGGTACACAAGCAATCAAGAAGTGTTATGCACCGCAAGTGATTATAAGCCTTGACAGATGTCGCTGTGACAACCATGTGGACAGTACAGAATGAGGAGGGGGACAGGGCCCATTGAAGGAATAGGGAAACCCCCAAGATTATTGCATTACTAGATTTGGAATGAATAGATTTCTGCCATTGGGTTATTTAGGGTGGTGTGTGTGTATGTATGTATGTGTGTGTGTACACACTCATGCACGCATGTACACGGTCGCGTGTGCAGCCAAGGTCAGATGAGAATGTTGGGTATACCGCTCTATCACTGTCGGCCTTATCCCCTCAAGATAGGGTCTCTCAGGGAGGAAACCTGGAGCTTGGAATTTTCCAGTGGGCTGGCTAACCATCAAGTTTTGGCAATCCTGTCTCCATCTCCGCTACCCTCTACCCAGCACTGGCCTTTTGACATGGGTCCTGGATAGTTAAACTTGGGTCCTGTGCTTGTGCAGGAGGCACACTTACCCACTGAACCATCTCCCCAAATCCAGATTATTCAGTCTTGATTTCTGAACCCCAGTGCACTGTGTGCCCAGGAAACACTCACGCCCACTGGCCCAACCTTTGCATGCAGGCGGTGTAGCGAGCCCCTGTGGACTAAGGACAGAAAAGAGTGGCCTCTGTGCTCTCCTGGGTATACAAGGACACACCCTTTATCTCTTTATTCCAGTCATTTTGCAACATTTGGTGACAGCCTCATCATCTGAGAAAACAATAGCTGGGGTCTGAGGCCACTGTAGGGAGATGAGCTCCCTGTAATTGGGGGACATTTATTTAGTGGCAGCTGGCCTTTATGTTTTTCTCCAAATTTCAATAAAAAAAAACATACTCTCAAGATACACATTTTTTTTTCCTGCCTGGAGATTTTGTATTGGCAGGATTCTAGGTGTGCATTCGTGTGTGTGTGTGTGTGTGTGTCATGTGCTCTGTGCTGGGTCATACTGTGGGACTTCTATCCAGGCTGTGCCTTGGAGATTTTCCCCATACCTTACATGCTCTTGTACCTTCCTGGAAGAAATGACATAAAATAGCAATAGCTGTCTAATTATACTTAGATGCTTTTGGTTTTCCACAGATACGAAATTAAATGCACCCATACCCTTTATCACCATGGAGATCGTGGAGGATCAGTTCCCATGTGTTCTGTCTCAGAGGCAGCAGTTGGACAGCAGCATACTCTCTCCCTTGTGAACGTTAACAGGGAATTTTTAAAACATGTTTAACTATGGGTTCAAATTGAAGAACGATATTTAAGTCATTATGGAGAGGAAAGCAGTTGTGCAAAGTCTCCAAGTAAATCAGAGAGAAGAGGAGCCCTAGTGTGGTAAGACCGAAGCAGGCTTATTCATGAGTGTCTCCTCTGTGGACATGTTTCCAGATCGCTCTTCACTCCCCTAAAGACAAACCTGAAAACCTCAAAGCGGGTGGAACGATGGAGGAGTCAGATGATGATTTCAAAGAACTCTGTGCCAGCTTTTTCCAAAGGGTGAGAAAAAATGCAACCAAAGAAGTGTCTGGAGAAAGGAAGAAGCCGAAGGCCGCCGGTAGCTCTCAGAAGAGAGGCACACTGAAAGAAACCAGTCAAGCTGCCACCAGGAGCAAAAGCCTTCAAGGCCCTTCAGAGAAGAAACCTCGATCAGGCAGCCAGGCCTCTAGGACTAAAAAGCAAGGGGCACCCAAATCCCAAGAAGGGGACCCAGCCCTCCCTGTGCATGGAAAGGGCGGTGTCCTTGCTCCTGCCCCACAGCCTGTGTTGTGTGAGAAAGCACAGAGCATTCAGACAGGTAACCAGCAGGGCCACTGGGACCCACTGCCAGATCTGGTTCTGGAGAGCGAATCACACGTGATGTGTGCTCCTGTAAACCGAGGCTCAGAAAACTTGCTGTAAAAGGCCAGGTGGTGTATACCTCTAATCCCAGCATTCAGGAGGCAGGGGCTGAGTGAGGCCAGCCTGGTCTACATACTGAGTTCTGGGACAGCCATGGCTATGTAAAGAGATCCTATCTCAAACAAAACAAAAAGTCAGAGAATAAATACTTTGTTTTTACAGATCATATAGTTTGTGCAGCAACTGCAGTTGGCTCTCTTCGTCTATGGGTTCACCCTCTGTCACATGGCCAACATTTGAGGAAAGAAATAGGCTGTGCTTAATGTCTATTTTTCCTCTCTCTTTTTTTTTGTTTGTCTTTATTCCCTAGCAATAGAGTGTAGCGACTATTTGTGCAGCATTTACTGTGTAGTGGATGTTATATTAATCTGTAGCTGAATTAAAGCATACTAGGTGTACACAGGTTAAATGCAGATAGTGTACTTTGTTTTTGTCTTTATGGTTTTTTTGTTTTTGATTTTCGAGACAGGGTTTCTCTGTATAACAGCCCTGGCCCCCTTAGAATTAGCTCTGTAGACCAGGCTGGCCTTGAACTCACAGAGATCCTCCTGCCTCTGTGACCTGAGTGCTGGAATTCCATAGGGATTCCTAGACTTATCTCCCCTAGGCACAGAGGCAGCTGTTCTTACTGGCTGCTGTAGTACGAGGCCAGCTATTGATGATGTGGATGGTTGTGGCACTTGTGACCACAGTTTGTGTGTCCCTTTGTGAGATCCTGTGAGTGTGTTTAGGAGCTCTGTGCTCCGTTTGCCGTAGATGTTTATGAAGTTGACAGTAGTCATGTCAGCCTAAAAATAATGATGCTTTTTGTATTTTTGTGAATTAATTCTAAGGTAGGTGGGTTGGCATGGGTAGCCAATTTGGTTCGCTGAGGAGGCTTTCAGAGGGTGCACTACAGGTTCAGGTTCCCTGCCCTGTCACCCTCGGCATCCTCAGCCGTGTGCTTGCTATAACTACCCTCTTCACACAGAACTGAAACCAGCCTCGTACGCATGATGTGTTCTTCAGGCTTCTGACTTCTGTTTCTGATTCCCTCACCTTCTCTGTGTCCTCAAAAACATTTTTCTAGTGTGTGTGCAGAGTCTTTCAGCAGTGGTGGTAAAGTCTGAGCCACTGGAGACCGCTGAACGCCTGCGGAAAGCTGCCCAGTACTCTGGGCACTCGTACTCCCTTTGTGCAGCTGGTGAAAGCGCCACGTGATTTGCACCTACATACGTGCGAAATTGGCTCGTAGCTTCGGGGGTTCCTGAATCCCCACAGAAGGCCATAGATGAATCTCAAGTTAAAGAATTGGCCTAGAAAGAGACAAACACTTGTCATTAGTATTTCTTTAATAAGAGCTTTATTGAGGTATTGCTCAGATTCCATAATTTTACTCTTAAAGTGTACAGCTTAGTGTTTTTGTTCATTCAGAGTGTGCAACCGCCACTACTGCCACCTAGCTTGAGAGTATTTGCATCCCCCCCCCCCAGCTCATCAGCAGTCACTGGACCCAGTCTCCCGCCACTGCTGGGTCTCTTGCCATAGTGTGCGGGCAAGTGAGCAGCTCCTACTCCCGCGAGTCAGGTGAAGCCTGAACTGGCTGGTAAAGGCGTTTTGGATTTGAGTCTGACCTGAAGGACAAATGCTGTGCATATTTTCCTCCTGCCAGAGAGTGCTCCCAATGGCGGCTCCCAGCCCCTTCCGTCCTGCTTCACCACGACTGCCGTGCCAAGTCCCTCCAAACCCAGAGCCTCGGAGCTGGTTCTCCAACGGATGAAGAAGTTCAAGAGAGCAGACCCTGAGCGCTTGCGGCATGCTTCAGAAGACTCCTCCCTAAAGCCCACACTGGAAGAAAATGTCCCGAGGAGCCCTCAGGCGGAGACGGTGGCAGAAAACGGTATGGTGAGCGTGTTCTGCTTCCTAAGACAAGACTGTAAGAAAGGGAGACAGAAGGAGCCTAGTGGCTTCATTTCTGTACACAGGTTTCCTGTGTGTTTATCTCACCCCTCACTGGAGCTAGCTGAAGAACGAATGTCCCTGTAAAAACTATTACTTTTAATTATGTGTATGTATGTGTCTGTGTGGGGGTATGTACACGGGAGTGCAGTATCTGTGGAGATCAGAAGTGTAGGCGGGGTTTTCCTGTGTGGGCAGCTGCTTCCCAATAACCACTCAGAAACTTAATATTAATTGCAAATGCTCGGCCGATAGCTGAGGCTTGTTATTAGTTAACTCTTACATTTAAATTAACCCATATTTCTTATCTATGTTTTGCCACATGACTTGGTTCCATTTCCCAGTATGGCACGCCCATCTTGCTTCTCTTTATGTCTGCTGGTGACTCCCCAGCTCCACCCTTCTTCCTCCCAGCATCCTCAGTTGGCTCTCCCACCTAACCTTATCCTGTTCAGCTTCTTTATTAAACCACTCTGAGTGACAAATCTCCACAGTGCACAAAAGGATTACTCTACAGCACAGAAGAAGAGTATGTTGGATCCCCTGGAGCTGGAGTTACAGGCAGTTGTGAGCTGTCTGACATGGGTACTGGGCGGCAAACTCTGGTTCTGCAAGAGCACTATGCACCCATCACCGCTGAACTCTCTTTAGCTCCTAGTTTCTTACATGGTTTCACTCCCTCTTTTCCTTCCTCCCTTCTCATTCCCATTTCCCTCCTTTTATTATGAAATTATTCTTTTACAGGAAGGTTTTTTATTCTTTTTTTTAACCACAGTAGGGGCTGAGGAAATGGCTGAGTGTGTAAAATGTAAACACAAGGACTTGAATTCAAATCCCCAGCATCTATGGCTGGGTGTGGTGGTGTACACTATTCCCTAAAACTGGAGAGATATACAGGATCCCTGGAAAAGTAGAGGGCAATAGAAGACACCTAATGTTGGCTCTGGCCCCCCCCCCCACAATCAAAGCAAAGCCAGGTGTTGGTGATTCATGCCTTTAATCCCAGCACTCAGGAGGCAGGTGGATCTCTGTGAATTCCAGGCCAATCTGCTCTACAAAGTAAGTTCTAGGACAGCCAGTACTTTCACATAGAAACCCTATCTCAAAAAAATCAAAAAAAAAAGAAGAAAAAAAAAATCAAAACCCAATAACAAACCCTAAATGCCAATACTCAACCTTTCTAGCATTGTGACCCTTTAATACATTTCCTCATGTTGTGTTGACCTCAACCATAAAATTATTTTATTTCTATTTTATAATTAATTTTACTACTGTTACAAATTGTAATGTAAATATATGATCTGCCACCCCAAGGGGTCACGACCCCTAGGTTGAGAAAGGAAAGATAGCTTTATGCACTCTACCTAGATTTAACAGCTGTAACACTTAGCCACAGACATACTTTTTTGTTTTTTCACATCATTTTTTTGGTCTCTTGAGGCAGGGTTTCTCTGTAACAGTCCTGGAACTCACTATGTAGACCAGGCTGGCCTCGAACTCACAGAGATCCACCTGCCTCTGTCTCCCTAGTGCTAGGATTAAAGGCGTGTGCCACCACTGCCCAGGTCGTTTTTCTCATCTTAATTAGCTTTGTTCATGGTTCTGGACTTGGGCAGCAGACTAGACCCAGAAGGTTGCAGATGCTCCTGCCGTACGTATTTCTCTATACTTACCATTGATGTCAGTGGTGGCGTGACATCGTTGACACGCCACCCTTAGATTTTCTCGCATAAGCACAATACCATCATTACACCTAAATTCATAACAGTTCCCTAGTTGTCCAAGCTATCTTTTGTAGCTTGTTTTTTTCCTGAACAAAGTTCACATGCTGTGTATTGCTTTAGCTCCAATAGTTTTTTTTTTTTTTTTTTGGGTGGGGGGTGGGATTCAGACAAGATTTTGCTAGTAGCTCTAGAATTCACTATGTAAACCAAGCTGGCCTTGAACTCAGGGTTAATCCTTATACCTCTAACCCCATCTCCAGTATTAGTATTATAGGCTCAAGTGTCATACCCAGCTCTGAATAAAATCTTTTTAGTTTAGATTGTAGAATAGTTCCCAACTTTTTTTTACATTAACTTTTGAAAAGTCTAGACTAATTAATTGGCTCATAATTTGCCACATTTGGGTTTGCTTGATTATTTGTTTATGCCATCGTTTTGTCTCTTCCCCGTCCCTTGTATTTTAGGTATACTGTGAGTGAGTCAGAGGTCTGACCAGCTCGGGGTTAAACGGCCTGGCCTCCACTTTTCAAAGGGGCTGTGAGCTCTGTATTCCTAGAGGCTCATACTGTCAGGTGATCCTCTAAGCAGCATGGCTCTCATCTCTGCTGAGTATGTACAGAAGGTTTAGGTAAAAGGCTCACTGGATAGAGTGCCTACCACATCAGCATGAGGGCCAGAGTTGGGTCCTCAGCACCCACAGCATAGCTGAGCACATATGGGCCCTCCTGAAATCCCAGGCCTTGGGAGACCGATACAGGACATCACTGGGGCCGACTGGACAGCTAGACTAGCTGAGCTGATGAGCCCAGGTATAGAAAACATCCTGCTGCACTAAGTTAAGAATGATCAAGTGACCAATATCACCTGTGGCCCACACACATGTACACATACGCACATCAACATACACACATGTGCACATGCTTGTGTGCTCGCTTTAAAGTAAAGGAGCAGCTAGATACACTACTGGAGGATCCATAGCTAACAACAACGGGGTCTCTGGGTGCTGTATTTGCTGTCTTGACTTTGAGAGCTCAAAGGATTCTCAACCTGCAATGATTGGACATCTTGTTGAGTCTTCAGTCCTTTTGGCATGTGGTGGCAGGAAGTAATATACACCATCCCTCTGTTTAGGAAAAGAGGAGCTGGGTGTGGGCTGTACTTCAGTGGTACAGTTTATCATATGTGAAGTCCTGGGCTTCATCTCTAATACCACAAAAGAAAGAAGGCACCAAATGAAGCTGTGCTGTTTTTGAACTTGTGGAAGGAGTGGTAGACTGAAGTAATGGTTATGACCTGGCAGAGCTCATCTGTGAGACACCGCATGTAAGCAGAGACTGCTGTTTCGTTCCTGGCCTCCCAGACTGAATAATCACACAAAAACTATGTTCGTTACAACAGTCTTTGGCCAACAACTCAGGCATCTTTCTAGCTATCTTATATCTTAAATTAACCCATTCTATTAATCTGTATATCGCCATGAGGCTATGATTTATCAGCAAAGGTTCTTGGTATCTTTCTCCTTTGGCAGCTACGTGATGCCAAAGCATGCATTTTAACAAGCTTCGGGTAATCTGTATGCATGCTGAAGTGGGAAAGAGCTGTTCCAAGAGTCCCCCGCCCAGTGCCCACTCTCCCTAGGCTGCGCCTCTAAACAGGAGTGCAGAGTGGTGCTAGGTTTTAGTTTCTTGTATTTGCCTAGTGCCCATGATACTCGAGCTGTAGATAAGACAAAGGGGTAAAGGTCACGGTGCCTGTCTGTTCTCATGGATCTGGATGCTTACCCACTCCACAGAGTCTAAGGCAAGGCTCCATGCCACAGACAGCGATGCTGCTATGGCCCTGGCCTTACAGCAGGAGTTCAGAAAGGAGGAAGCATCTTCACGTCATGACAGCTTGGAGGAGAAGGGGTTGTTCTTCTGCCAGATGTGTCAGAAAAACCTCTCTGCGATGAATGTGACCCGGAGGGAGCAGCATGTGAACAGGTAGGAGCAGCAGGGCTGTCCCAACTCCAGGACACCGGATAGCATCTTTGGGAGTGTTGACACCTTTCATGAGGACAGCACCTCAGTTTCGTTTATGTACCCCTCTTCCTAAGCACCCACTGAGATACAAGCCCCATGCTGTCTTTCATCCACTTGAAGGGCACAAGTCCTTGGCTTCTGTGCACGTCTCGCCTCCGTCTGTTTTGGGTTACTTCATCACCTCCAAAGGGAGCGTCCTCCCCCTTGGAAGTCACTGTGCTGCCCCCTCCCTCATTCTTCTAACAGCTGCTTCCTGTGCACTCATGTGTGGAACCCACAGTGTCTGTCCTGTGTCTATCCTGCACTTAGCTATGTTTGCAGAGCCTATCTCTGTGTCAGAGTGTCGCCCTCCAGCACCACTCTGTCTATGGCTGAGCAGTGAGCCATGGTGTGGACAGACACAGTTACTTCATCCATGCCAGACCCGTGGGTTTCCACCTCGTGGCTTTTACAGGAGTGCTGCTGTGAACACACGGTTCATGGATTTGTTTGAACACTTGTTTTCATTTCCTTGGGACTTTTACTTGAGAGTGAAATTGTTGGATTGTAAGGTAAGTCCTCAGTTTCTTGAGGCACCTTTGCTCACACACATCTAAAGCTTATGTCTGAGGCTGACTTCCAGGAGACATGCAGCACCAGCCCTGGGGAACGATGATGTAGATGAAGCATTTGCTGTAGTCCATGTTACTTGAGGGTTTTGTATTTACTGACTTCCTGCAGATGCCTTGATGAGGCAGAAAAGGCTCTGAGACCTGCTCCACCTCAGATCCCTGATTGTCCAATATGTGGTAAACCATTCCTCACCTCTAAGAGCCGAATGAGTCACTTGAAGCAGTGTGCAGTGAAGATGGAGGTGGGTCCCCAGCTCCTGCTCCAGGCTGTGAGGCTACAGACCGCTCAGCCCGACGGGGGCAGCAGCCCTCCAGTACCCAGGTAAGGCAGATGAAGGAGCCAAATAACGGTCTTTTCACTCCAGTTAGACTTTCCCTGAAAAGCTGCTTACAGTGTTAGGGAGAACCAGCTCTCTTTTGGAATCTGGAATGAAACAATTCAGGAAATTGAGCATGGTCAAAAAAGGATTAAGGAGCACAAGGATTTTGCAATCATGTGGAATCACCCATGCAAAGAATTGCTACTGCTCTCTTGATCCTTTCTCCAGTGTTGCCAGTCCCATAATCCTACAGTGACCACTCCAGAGCTTATAAGAGTTTGGTATTTGCTTTACTTCCCTGTTTTGGTTGTACAGCATGTTTCTGTCTTAGTGTAGCTGCATTTTCATACTGTTAATCAGACTGTTCAGCCCCATCCAGAGCTGACTAGGCAGAACCTCAAGACTATCTGTTATTCTGTGAGAATCCAATAGAATGGTTTTTGTTTATATTCACCCCACTCTCCCCTAGAAATGTATTTTTTTAATTGCACGAATTGATGCTTATGTATTAAGATAGGAGACTCCCCTAGCAGCTGGGAAGCCATCCTCAACATGCAGATGCCAGGGATGCAAGCAGCAGAGGATCAGCTCTGTCCCCTGTTCCTGAGCCGAGTACATCTAAGTTGACCCCTAACTTTACAGACTTTTGTGGGAAGTTTTTTATCCTAGTCACTACCATGCACATGGGTTATCAGCTGCTGGGCTGGGCCACAGCTGAGATCACAGTGGGCGGAGGGGGTTCTCCAAGCCAGGGAGTCTACCTACATTTAGTATATCCATACTAGCACTGTAGGGCAGAAAGACTTGAGGCCTTAGAATCTAATCTATTGCTTGTATCACAGATTAAACTTACATGCTTTTAAAATACCTCCAAATAGTGAAACTAGATGTACATGGGTCCTTCTAGAAGGCTGGTGAGTAGAAAGTTATGAGAATTGAACATACTCAGGGGACTTTGGACCTTTCCTAAGGGGGCTTTGAATGTTCCTGTGCTGAGATCAAGCCAAGGTATTTGGATTTTGGAATAGCCAGCATTTCATGGCTAGAGAACCATGCTGGTCCGAGTATCTTCTTGCCTTCCTCACTCCTTCCTTGATTTCCCCAAGCCCGAGCCCTGTACAGGTACAGACAGCATCAGGGCTGCTCTTCATGCCTACTTCTTGGCAGCTGGCTGGTGCCCTCTATCTTGCCTGTGGTTAGCTGAGTTAGGAATTGTTTACGCCTTCCAAGACCACACCTAAGAATCTCTGACTTGCCCAGTGTCCAATGAGCTTTTGCAAAAGCCTGAGTTATGTCGCCCGCAGCAGGGCAGGCTCTCCAGAGCTGCTCCCTAGCACACCTCCTCCTTGCCCAGTTGCTGGGGCTCACTCAGACAGTAGGTTTTTCTTTCCAGCCAAAGAAGCCTTCACACAAGCCTTCTGCAAGATAGAGAGGGGTCAGCTCTTAGGGCAGCTGCTTCGTGGCAGCAGAGTCTGGAGGCCTTGTCGTTTGGCCTTGGATAGAGGTGCTGCTGTCCTTCTCCTGAAGGAGGGACAGGATCCGTCCAACCAGGACTGTCCTGGGAGCATCTGAAGTTTCAGTGGGCAGAACTTGTTCACTACAGAGAGCCTACTTGGACCTATAGACCACAAGGGTTTAGCTACATCTAGGTGTTCGGGTACCATTGATGGTCAAGAAAGAGCCCGGGCCCTCCAGTGTATGGAGTGTGCTAAATTTCTAGGTTAGGGTCGAATGAGCTCACAACAAATAAAATCAGCACAGTGAAAGCCCAAGCAATTGTTGGCTCATTGCAATGGGGCAGACACATCCATCTTTTGTTTCCTGTAAGATTGAAGAGGCCCAGAATCAGAGGCACTCCCTGACCTTTGTCTGTGGTTATCTTTTAACTTCAGCAACCATGTTGGAAGTTTGAAACGGAAAGGAGCCACCGTCAAGAAGGAGCCACAGAAGAGGCGGAAAGCCAATATGCCCGAGGCTCCATCTGAAGATCTGCTGGTGGCCATGGCTCTGTCTCGCTCTGAGATGGAGCAGTGTCCAGTTGTGCCCCCACTCAGACTAGAAAATGCTTTTTCTCAGAAGATAGGGCTAGGAGCAGGTACATGTGGCTGGGCAAAGGCCTGGGGAGAGCTTGGTGCCCGGGTGCTGGGTGAGAGTTAGGGCAGCTGCTGGGTGAACGGTCAGAGCCATTTCTGACCCAGCCGCTTCTGTGTCTCTCTAGAGAAGAAAAGCCGCAGAAAGAAGCCCCCAGTGTGTCCCCCGCAGTTGTTAACTCAGGACTTTGAGACCACAAGTAGACAGATTGAGGATCGCGTCGCCCAGCTCCTTTCAGAGGAAGTGGACCTAGCCTGTACCCCGCCACTTCCTGCCAGCAGGATTTTAAAGGAAGAATTGGGGCATGCAGGCCGGCGTCTGCAGCTGCCTGCAGGAAAGCGGAATTTTCTGTGGGAGTGCAGTGCCCTCACAGGGGCCTGGGCTGAGGAGTCTTTCTATGCAGCAGGCCTGGTCCCTCCAGTGGTGTCCCCACGGCCTCCCAAGGTGAGCCTGCTCCTCATAACACCATGGGTGGGCTTTGGAGAGAGGCGGATAGTCTAGAAATGCAGCCAGATACTGGGGCTGGATGAGAAGTCCAGTAGATAGAATGGGGAGGAAGCAGCAGAGCATTGGCTATGCCTCATGTCTCTCAGTAGCAGCTCGGCAGCGCTTCTGCCGAAAAAAAGGACTTTGGTTCCCTTCATTTAAAACATTGCTAGAAAGCTTGTTTAAAATGTGAAGTCCAGGTCCACCCATGTCCAGGTTTTAACTCTGAGACAGAGCCTTGGAACCTAGGTCCTGAACACATACTTGAGACGGTTCTGCTGAAGGCGGTCCTGCATAGGTCCAGCCTTGGCCATGTAAAGGACATGAAGTGGGCTGCCAGTTTCTGCCGACCCTTCTTCTGTACACTTGGAGGCACCAGGTAGACCTGAGCCATGACAAAAGCTGCCAACACTGCAGGTTCCTGGCTGTGACTGGCTGTGACTGGCTGTGACTGGTCTCCCTTGAGGGCCCTGTCCTATCTGCAACTTTAGATGTAGCTGTGCATGTGTAGGGTGGCTGCAGCAGAACGTGTCCGGGACAATAACCAGTCACTTTCAACTTCCTTCAGGAATGTGAGGTGTCACTGGAGCTGCCTAAGCAGCGAGAGCCAAGTACCCAAGGGCCCCCTGCTTCCCACAGCAGCCCTCCCATAAGCCCCAGCCCCAAGAGCCAGCCGCTGTCCTCCACTCAGAGGGAGCACCAAGCTCTTCAGGATCTTGTGGACTTGGCAGAGGAGGGGATGAGCACCAGCCCGTGGTCCAGCAGTCTGGGAGCACCCACAGGTGAGACGCTGGGTGGGGTGCTGGGTGGCACTGGCGTGTGGGCTGCCGCGAGGTTCTGCTCATCCCAGCTCAGTGTCTGCCCTCGGACGTGGGTGGGATGCAGAGCGGTCGTGAGTCTCACCATCTTTCCTAAACTCCAGCCAAAGACAGAGCTGCTTGGGCCAGTCTTGTCTGTTTTACAATCCTTCCACTTCTCTGTCAGGGAGATGGGTAGAAATAATTGGGGGAGGGTTACTTTAAGTGAAGATGTCCTCAAATAATGTGTCCAGCCAAGCCTTGGACTGACACTGCTTGCTTGGGAGGTGACAAAATCCCTTTAATCTGTAAATCTGTCTCTCAGGGTTGGACTTGGAACCCAACAGTCTTCCACTGACTGGGTTTGTCCTGCCATCTAAGAAGACCCTTCAGAGGAGTGACCACGCCTCCGTAAGTATGAAGACTTCTTTGTTGCAAGTTAACCTGTCAGTTCAGTCCTGGCTCTGTGGTCTAGTTCCCAAATAATATACCTTGACAACCCTTGGTGGGGCTGAGTCCCAGGCCTCCTCTGCTTGGACACTGTGGGTGTCCTCAGCAGCCAGTTCTCAGAGCCAGCTTTGTTGAGGAGTCCAGAGATCATTGGCTCCCTAAGTGACTGCCTCAATCAGACATCTGTTCTGTATGTTTGCTTTTTAGTGATTTCCTTCATTCATTAAAAACTCACTGTGCCTCTTCTGTATGGATTATGAGGTGGACTCCAACTAACAACCCAGTATATTTTTGTTGGTAATGAATGGCATTGGAAGATGGGTATTTCATCAGGACCTTTTTTCTTTTCTAAATTTTTTTAATTTTATTTATTTATTTTTTTGAGACAGGGTTTCTTGTAGCTTTGGAGTCTGTCCTGGAACTCACTCTGTAGACCAGGCTGGCCTCAGACTCATAGAGACCCACCTACCTCTGCCTCCTGAGTGCTGTGCTTAAAGGTGTGCATCACCGCCACGGTCATAGGACCTTCTTATGCAGAGGACCACCTTGGTGATGTCCCTGCATGTAGCTAGGAAGTATTGGGTACCAGAACAGATTGGGCTCAGGGTCCTGGTCCTTTACGTCAGGCTACTCTGAGAACCAGGGATCTTGGTGTGTACATGATTATGAGCTCTAAAAATGTCTGTCTATCACTGTTCCTCCTATCATAGGTCAGGGAACACACCGTAATAGAGAACCTGAGAAAGAAACTAGCAGTTGCCATTCTGGTTAGATGAGGTCCTTAATGTAGCCTAGAGATAGAGCCTCATACCTCATGTGCACATCCTGGAGAGGAAAGCATGGCCAGGCCCTTGGTCTTCCCTGACACACCTCTCAGTGTGTGAGCTCACTTAGCAAGCAGTGAGTGAGCTAACAACTCTCTTTTCCTCCTGTTCCAGCTCTGCTCCCTTGGGTTGCTGGTGTCTGACTTTGGGACAATGGTCAATAACCCACACCTGAGTGATATCCAGTTCCAGATTGACAGCGGAGAGGTGTTTTATGCCCACAAGTTCGTTCTCTATGCCCGATGCCCACTTCTTATTCAACATGTAAGTACATAGGGTGCTGACAGCCTGCTTCCTCTCCCTCTTTTTTTTTTTTTTTTTTTTTTCAGAAAGAAGGTTTTCCTTCTTCCTTTACTAGTATTTGCATCGTTGTAGAATCTCCCAATCGTGTTCTCTCTCTCTCTCTCTCTCTCTCTCTCTCTCTCTCTCTCTCTCTCTCTCTCTGTTGGAACTTGGGACCCTTTGCCTCAGTCTCCCAAATGCTGAGATTATGAGCTTGAGCCCCCACATGGGAATCCAGCAGACCACTCAGTCTTCGTCAGAAAGTTCTAGACACAGGAGTGTCCAACCTTTAGTACTGCAGTATGATATTATTGTCTGCAAATGCATTGGGCCATATTCATCTTTATCCTGGGACTCATGCAACCCACAGGCCCAAGTCAGACATGCTTAGAGTATATGATACATCTGTCAAGGGGAAACTAAAATGTTCCTTAGACATCCATCCTCATATGATTTTGGAAACATAGGTCCAGACTATAGAAAATACATAAGACTGCCCCCCACCCCCAGGATCTCAGGCTGTCACTCCAGGCTATAATAAACCTCTGTGTTCCCCTGCCTGCAGGTAAATGCTGAAGGCTTCTGTGCTGTGGAGGACGGGGATCTGACCCAGCGCATCCTGCTGAATGATGTGAGCTCTGAGGCTGCCCTGGCATTTCTGAACTATCTCTACATGGCAGACACTGACATGCCTCCCAGCCTGGCCCATGAACTGCGTGCCCTGGCCCTCAGGTTGGGATTGTACTTTGCACACACTCCACAGCCTTTAGGGTTGGTGACATGAATTGGGAGACTGACAGCTCATGCATGGCAGGGTTATCAAAATGCCAGGGCTGAGCCTATAAAACTTCCATCATATCTTTTAATCCCAAGTTTACCCCAGCCACAACCCTGAGCAGTACATGATGGTTGGTTAGAGTGGACGCTTGCAGGGGAAATTATACTTGGCATGGTAGATGGAGCTCTGGCCTCAGCACCCTTAGACACACGCATAGCATGCAGCTCCTTGATTGTCCCCCGTAAGAGTTTCCCAGCATCAGGCACACATCCTTCCTTCTAACAGAGCTGAAAACCTCTGGGTAAAGCCTCACCCCTCCCAGGCTGTGTGAATCCCTGGGTGCCTTTTGGAGAAGGAACAACAGCTCAGTGATGGGGTCTGAGATGCGCTGACTGGGTTTCGGAGCCTTCTGATAGGCGGTCAGCTGGCCTGCCAACAGTTCTGTCTGCTGTGGTTGGGTCTTGAGTGACTCTCAGTGCTGCCTGATTTTGTAGCCATAGCAGCTCAGCCTGACACCCCTCCACTTTGTCACCAGTGGAGTTAAGGTACCATAGGTGCTATTTAGAGCTATAACCAAGTGACCAAGTGTGATCCTGCACAAGGGGAAAGGCCACGAGAGAAACATCCTGGTACCTCCTCATGAGAGCTGCTCCGGCTACCAGTCCAGGTGCCAGCAAGGCGCCTCTGTACAGAGCGGTGATAATCCAGTGTCTCCTCTTGCAGGTTTGGTGTGAGTGACCTTGTTCACCTGTGTGAACAAGTGCCTGTCATGGCAGACTTGGAGGGAGAGCAACAGGAGGAGGAGGAACACGAGAACTGTAAAAGCAGAGCCGAGAATTTCCAAGAACTCTTGAGGTCAGTGTGGGCAGATGAGGAGGAGGAAGCAGAGACTTTGGTGAAGCCTGAGCTCTGTGAAGAAGATGGAGAAAAAGTGAATGAGGCAGAAATGGAAGAAATTTATGAATTCGCAGCCACTCAGAGAAAGCTGCTCCAGGCGGGAAGCGCGGCAGACACAGATGAGGACACAATCCGGCTCGGAGAGGACAGTCCAGGTTCTGAGCCTTCCCTGGCAGGTGCTCAGAGTAGCAGGCAGACAGGACAGATGGAGTCATCTGGGCCAATCAACTGGGAAAAGGAAAGAGATTCCCTTCTACCCCAGGACCAGTGCTCGGCCTGGGCAGGGAAAGCAGGGACCCAGGAGGCACTAAAGGAGGCAGCTGGCCAGCCTAGCTCCTGTAGCCCTTCTGAGAGCCAGCAGGTGAGGACTAAAGAGTGCTCACCTTTGCTCCCAACCAAGGCCTGTGATGACAAACAGCCCTTTGCATCAACTCAGAGAGACCCATCTGAGCTGTCCAGAATGACCGCTGGTCACGAAGAGCCGAGTGGCAGTGCTAGGGAGAGGCAGGCAGAAGTGGCCCGTTCCCCCTGCTTCCTCCTGTCACAGTCTCCTGTAGGTGGAAGTCCCAGCCGGTCACGGCTTCTCTCATATCCCACAAGCAATTTATCCCCATCGGTGCCCCAGCCACGCAGTAGCATTTCCAAGGCGTCATCCCCAAGCTCACTGTCTCCAGTTACACCATCTAAGCAGAAAAGGGACAGTACCATTCTCACACTACTGGGAGAACCCGGCCACCAGAAGGGTAAACGAGATAGCTCCATGTTGGGACGCAGAAATAGGGGCATCCTGATTTCCCCGGCAAAGTCTCCTCCCATTGACTTGACCCAGTCAGCTCCTGATCCCTTGAGTCCCAGGACCCAGGATCCTCCATGTCATGTGAAGAAAGAGGATGAGGTTATCCTTTTACTGGATTCGGACGAAGAGCTGGAACTAGAGCACAGCAAGACAGAGTTAATTTCTAAGGAGTCTCCAGGAGGAAGGACAGTTCTAGACGTTAGCCCCAAATCCTCTGAACTGTTTTCAGTCATCGATGTCGATGAAGATCAAGAACATTCCCAAAGCCCACCAAAGAGAGAAGCCGGGCTCCGCAGGGAAGAGGAGGGACGGCGGGAGAATCAGTCTGCTCTGGGAAGCAGAGACATCCCCTGGCTGTTCTGCAGTCAGAAGAACAGCCTGGACGAGGGCAGCTCCACAGACACCTCCTGGCTGGTGCCTGCTACTCCGGGGGCCTGCAGGAGTCGTGATCGCTCATCACAGACCCAAATCCTAAGCCTTAAGACCAGGAGCCCGCCAGATGAGACTGCTCAGCACACCCCCAGGCCTTCTGTAGACCGCAGGCCTGTGCAGGAAGCAGTGCAGAAGCTCTCCGTGATCGTGCCCTATAAACTGCCTGTTACTCAGGGAACTCCTGAGAGTGGGCGGCAGGGCTGCAGAAGCCCTTCCCATCCATACTCCAGGTGCCACAAGCCTTCTTTACAGCCATCGTGTCCCGCCCCTGATCTTACCAAGTGGCCCCAGAAACACTCGTCACCGCGGCCATGCCTGCCAAACCAGGCCACAGCTGATGAAGTGGTGGAAGTTGGGGACAGTGACGATGAACAGGAGGTGGCTTCCCATCAAGGAAACAGCAGCCCTGTGCTAGATGGTGACCCCCCGGTTCCCATGGGTGACTACTGTTGGCATGATGAGCCTCTCTCACCCATTCCAATTGACCACTTGAATCTGGAGCGGACTGGCCCCCTGACCACAAGCAGTCCCAACCATCAGTCCCAGGAGGCGCTGCGTGGTGATGACTGCCACTCCCCAGAACTCCTGGGCAGCACCCCCGTTCGAGGAAGCTCTGGGGCCCTGAGAGAGTCTCAAGAGCAGTCTTCACAGGCTGCCTCTCCAGGGAGCAGCAAACTGAGTTTCATGAGCCCAGCTCTGTGGGACGACTGGGACGAGGAAGAGCAACACTCTCCAGAGGCCTCGCCGGTGGCCCAAATGCTGAGTGCCGGAGCTCTGAAGCCAGACAGTCCGGAGACACCAAGTGAGTGGCTGTGAGGCCCGAGAGATCTTGTCCTTTCCTCTTTACTCATGGAGGCGTGGAAGTCTGGGGAGGAAAGCTGGGCTAGCAGTGCTCATCTGGGCAAGACCTCTCCTTTGATTCCCAGACTCTCCCACAGAGTAGAAGTGACTGTTCCCTAGGATAGACTTCACAGTCAGCAAGTCAGCATCCCCAAGCCTGCCCTTATCTCCTGTGAGCTCACTTCCAGGACCAGCAGCCAGAGGCGATTGGGCGAGGTGTGGTTCCCTAAAAAGTTCAGTCATGGGATAAGGCTACAGCTCAGTGGTAGCGGGCAGGGGTCTCTTAAATTCAGTCCTGTCTCAGCTCGTGAGCAGGTGGAGTTGTTTGCACCAGGCTGTCTTGGGAGCTGAAGCAATACTTTTACCTAAACCTCTCAGTTTTGCACCACCTGGCATCTCCATTAATTTTTTTAAATTTTTTATTTTATGGTCTTTCAAGACAGGGTCTCTTGTAGCCTTAGTTGTCCTGGAACTCGTTCTGTAGACCAGGATGATCTCAAACTCACAGAGATCTGCCTGTCTCTGCCTTCTGAGTGCTGGGATTAAAAACATGCAATACCACTGCCTCGTCCCCCAAAGCATTTTTTTTCAATGTAGAAGATATTCTTTTTTTTTTTTTTACATTTTTTTACTGATATTTATTGAGCTCTACATTTTCTCTGTTCTCCTCCCTGCCTCTCCCCTCCCCCCTTTAATCCTCCCCCAAGGTCCCCATGCTTCCAGTTTACTCAGGAGATCTTGTCTTTTTCTACTTTCTACTTCCCATGTAGTTTAGATCTATGTAAGTCTCTCTTAGTGTCCACATTGTTGTCTAAGTTCTCTGGGATTGTGGTTTGTAGGCTGGCTTTCTTTATGTTTAAAAACCACCTATGAGTGAGTACATGTGATAATTGTCTTTCTGTGTCTGGGTTACCTCACACAAAATAATGTTTTCTAGCTCCATCCATTTTCCTGCAAAATTCAAGATGTCATTATTTTTTTTCTGCTGTGTGGTACTCCATTGTGTAAATGTAGCACATTTTCCTTATCCATTCTTCGGTCGAGGGGCATTTAGGTTGTTTCCAGGTTCTGGCTATGACAAACAAAGCCGCTATGAACACAGCTGAGCACAAGTCCTTGTGGAATGATTGAGCATCCTTTGGATAGATACCCAAAAGCGGTATTACTGGGTCTTGAGGAAAGTTGTTTTCTAATTTTCTGAGAAATCACCACACTGACATCCAAAGGGGTTGTACCAGCTTGCATTCCCACCAGCAGTGCAGGAGTATTCCCTTTTCCCCAACTTCTCCAGCATAAGTTGTCATCAGTGTTTTTGATCTTGGCCATTCTTACAGGTGTAAGATGGAATCTCAGAGTTGTTTTGATTTGCATTTCTCTGATGACTTAGGATATTGAACATTTCCTTAAGTGTCTTTCAGCCATTTTAGATTCCTCTGTTGAGAGTTCTCTGTTTAGGTCTGCACTCCATTTTTTTTTTTAATTGGATTATGTGATCTTTTGGTGTCCAATTTCTTGAGTTCTTTGTATATTTTGGAGATCAGACCTCTGTCTGATGTGGGGTTAGTGAAGATCTTTTCCCATTCTGTAGGCTGTCGTTTTGTCTTGTTGACCGTGTCCTTTGCTTTACAGAAGCTTTTCAGTTTCAGGAGGTCCCATTTATTAATTGTTTCTCTCAGTGTCTGTGCTGCTCCCTTAAAGCATTTTTATCTTTTTTTTTGATTATTTAATTTTATTTTATGTTCATTGGCGTGAAGGTATCAGATCCCCTGGAACTGGAGTTACAAATAGTTGTGAGCTGCCATGTGGGTGCTGGGAATTGAACCTGTGTCCGCTGGAGAAACAGCCAGTGCTCTTAGCTGCTGAGCCGGCTCTCACCTACCCCACCCCCGAAGGCATTTTTAAGGGGATTCGTACAATGTATGGTCTTTCATAACTGGCTTCTTAGCACAAGTTTTTCGAGATTCTGCTGCGCTTCATTTATTGCATCTGAATACTGTATCCATCCACCATTAGTGGACATTTGAGTTGTTAGAGTAATCCTGCTTTGTGCAGACAGAATTTCATTTCTGGTAGTTAGGTCCAGGACTGCTGGATCACAGGGTAGCTGTGGTTAGCATTTTGAGGAACTGCCACACAATTTTCCCCAAGATGCTGCTTCATTGTATTCCCCTACCAAGACATGTGTGAGGTGGGTGCGCCAGCTCTCCCTGTCCCCGCCAGCACCGCCCGTGCTTCCTTCCTAGGGGCTGTTAAGTGCATTTGTACTGATGGCTCGTGATGCTGGGCATCTTTTATGTATTTAGTGGATATTTGTGTATCTTCTTTGGAGAGTCGCTTGCCCCAATATTTGTTTATTTATAATTATATTGTACTGTGTGTGTGCACGTGCATGCAGAGGTTAGGAGATGGCCCTGGTGTTAGTCCTCTCCTTTCAGTGTGGCATCCGGGATGAACTCAGGTCGTCAGGCTGGGGGTGGGCCCCACTGTCCACTCACTGAGCCATCGCAGCATCCTGCATGGTCTTTTCCTTGTTGATCAGGAGGTTCTGATGTCTAAGCGTGAGAGCTGTCGGTGCTGCTGGTCATCCGCTGCCGTCACTGTTCGGCAGGCTGCTCTTTCCCAGTGGTTAGAGCGTGTGCTGGGCTGTTGTTCCAAGAGGCCCAGAGCCTGCTCCCCGACATTAGTGTTGCAGACATGGCATGCTTCCTCACAATTGCTGTGTGCCCCTCCCAATGGGAAGATACAGCTCCAAATGGTGATGGTGCCATTAAGGCTGTCCTGGGGCACGGTGTCGATTGGGGTCTGTCATTTCCCATGTGACACTTCCAGGGCAAGAAGTGGTAGCAAATCCATGCCTGTCACGCTAATACCTGTGCTTCTCGTGTTTTATCCAGAAGGTGCTAATCGGAAAAAGAACTTGCCCCCCAAAGTGCCTATAACTCCAATGCCAAGGTATTCAATCATGGAGACCCCAGTGCTGAAGAAGGAGCTGGACAGGTTGGTAGTGTTCCTCCAGGCTTCTGCTTCCATGGTCTCCTGTGAGTAACCAGGCCCAGGAAGTAGAATAACGCAGCACCCCTTCAGGTCTGGGAGATGAGGTGGCCCTAAGCTGAGAGGGACGTCCTGCAGGCCGCTCTGCAGAGGGCATGGTTGCTTGAGTGGGTGGGTGCTGGGCCTTTCTTCTCTCCCACCAGCTCTGAGCTCAAGAAACTAACACCTGAGGGTTGTCCTAGGAAATATGTCTCCATGGTCCATACTGGTAGGCGTGGGCCCTAGCCATGCCATCCAAGTAAGGAGACTTCGTTTTCTAAGATAATGTGAAAAATACTGCTCTTCAGCGTGGTGCCTGGTGAAGTGGCTGCTTCCACCACTGCTGAGAACACTCTGGGACTCTCCAGCGTGGATGTCCTTTAGAGCAAGCTCAGCTGGCGTGAACACTCCTGAAAGTCAGGCTGTAAGGTTTCTGTCCAATGGAGCCATGCCTTGCTCTGCAGAAATGGCTGCACCGTTGGACCCTGAAGCCCACCTGTTCCCACATGCAGGTTTGGAGTCCGTGCTCTGCCCAAACGCCAGATGGTTCTAAAACTGAAGGAGATTTTCCAGTACACTCACCAGACGCTGGAGTCAGACTCAGAGCATGAAATCCAGTCTTCCCAGCTACCTTGCAGCCCGGAGGTACCTGGTAGCCAGGTGTCTACCGCTGAGACCTACAAGCCTTCAAGGTCAGGAGGCTACACCCAGATCAAAGCCACTGCAGGTCTGGGGGCTCCAAGAGCCAAGGGTCCCACTAAGAGCAAGAACCCTCGGCATCGAGAGAAACAGCGCAGTGAAAGTGTTTCCCACCCGAGCAGGTTGCCAGCTGGGGAGCCGCCTGTAGGCCCTGTTGGGGACGCCCTGCTCCCAGCCTCCCAGGAGTCCGTGGCCACCTCTGTGGATGGCAGTGACAACTCCTTCAGCTCTCACAGGTAATGGTCATACATGTGTCCTCTGAACGGTGGGTGTGAGAGGGCATTGGGGACACATAATGGCCAGTGTCCAAAATCCCATTGATTTCTGGGCCTCTGCAGGAAGCCCACGTGGTTTAAAGGTTCACTCCTTGAGTCCCTACAGGCCTTTGAAACTCTGAAACTTCCTTTTTATGCTAGAGCTTTCTGGCTAAGAGGGGATCCCAGCCAGGAATCCTGAAACCACAGACCCGTGGAACCATCAGGACTCCTGTCACATGCGAGGCTCAGCAGAGCCCTGAAACTCTCTTCCCCTCAAAGGGGCTCCGGGTCTTAGGGCCATAGAGGGAGGGTGCCCAGACCATCATCTGTTCTTTTCAGTTCCTCCTGTGGGTTTGGAGCTGCCTTGGAGTCTGCAGGTGAAGACAAGGACGACGAGGAGGGGGTCAGTGCATCACAGGTTGCCCGCCGGGCGGCAGACACAGAGGAGGCAGTGAGACGCTACATCTGCTCCACGCCTGCCCTGTACAGGAAGGTGCTGACATACCAGCCTCTCGAGCTGGCTGAACTCCAGGCTGAGCTGAAGCAGGAGGGCATTCCTGTGGCCATGGGCAAGCTGCTGGACATCCTCGATGCCCAGTGCATCACCTTCACAACTGCTGCAGCCCGAAAGGAGAAGCTCAAACAGAGGAGACGGCAGCCGCTGGGCAGGAAGAAAAAGGACCAGAAATGACAGGCTTCCACCTCAGTAGCTAGCTGCCAGAGGGCCTCACCGGGTGTGTCTCAGGACAGCAGCCCGTGTCTCTGGAAGTGACGTCCCCAGCATACTCTCTGCTCTGTGTCGCCCCTGGATTTAGAGCCAGGTCCTCTCTTCCCCCGTCAGTCAGGCTCAAGCAGGATCCCCATCTTATGTGTTCCTGAGAGCAGTGGGCCATACCAGCTGACCAGGCAAGACCCACGCCTTCTTCTCTTGCCGTTCTGTGTCTACTACACCCAAGCACAGCTGTCCTGGTAACATATTCTGGGATGAGCATCAGGCCCAGCCTGCCTTCTCAGCATTCAGACCAACCTAGACACCCCAGGGCGGCCTGTACCACCACACCACAGGTGCTCTTCTGACCTGATGCCTACCCAGACCCTTGTCAGTGTCACCAGCATTCTCTAAGCAGGACTTTGAATAGGGCCCAGCACAACTGTGAAGACCCCCAAAGTAAGCATGTTGTTTGTGGGTTCCTCCCATGTGTGTTAAACCTCTGACCCAGAAGCAGTGTGGACCCTGGGGAGGCAAAAAAGCCAGACGTTTGGGTTCCCATAGCCTGTGAATGTCCTTGTCTGTTTTAATTACCGTGAAGTTGTTTTATATGAGTGCAATAAAAACAAGGCTTTATTTAAAATAAATACTAAGTAAATAAACCTAGATGTTCCTCTCTGTGAAATTTATGAGGACACGGCGACTTGAGCCCGACTGCCCTGCTGCCCCCAGCGCCTTTGCACACACTCTTACCCCGGGTGCCAGGCTGCTCATTGCCCGATTATCTCTGGTCCTAGGTAACAGGCATAGGACTCGGTTCTTGCTCGTCCATCCACTGTCTCTCTGTTCACACTGGCGGTGCCCTCACAGGCACTCAACTGCAGCTGCTCAGGGAAGCAGACCAGGGATACACGCAAGTGGCAGGCTGGTCCTGACAGACTTACTGGTCAGCTTTGCCTTGTCAGCACAATGCATGTACAGTGCTGATCTACAGCTATGCTGGACCACAGGGAAGACCAGCCAGCGTCCTTTAGGAGCTGGGACGTGGCTCGGCGATGGAGCATCTGCCTGGCATGCCTAAGGCTCTGGGCTCAGTTCTCAGCCCTGCAACAAGGAGGTGAAGCACCCTTGGGCCCCTAGGCTGACATCAGGACCTGGAAAAGGTCTCTGAGCTGACTTTAGAGGCCAGCAGTTTAGGGAGGTGAAAAATGAAGCTTTGTGTTGTAAGATGTTTTACTCTGGGCTTTTTGAAGGGCCCACCACCCTGCTCCCAAATAGACCACACACAGAGGCTTATTCTTGGTTATAATGTCTGGCCTTAGCTTGACTTGTTTTTTGACAGCTTTTCTTAAATTATACCAACTTGCCGGGCAGTGGTGGTGAACACCTTTAATCCCAGCACTCAGGAGGCAGAGGCAGGTGGATCTCAATAAGTTTGAGGCTAACCTGGGCTACAGAGTGAGTTCCAGGGCAGGCTCCAAAGTTACAAAGAAACCCTGTCTCAAAAAACCAAAAAAAAAAAAAAAAACCAACAACAACAAAAACCAAAAAAAAAAAAAATGAAGAGGTCAGGTTGTCCATCTTGAGGGAAAGCAGGAGACAAGCCAGTGGTTGCGTCAGCCTCACTCCGTTCCCAGGCTGGGTCCACTTGGCTCCTGGCAGCCCACAGTGCTGAGCAGCAGGCTCAGGCTGCACATGCATGTGCCGTGGGTAGCAGTCTGGAACCACTAAAGCTGTGTATTCGGCATCACCCACTTGTTCTAAAACATCCAGTGAGCAGTCACTGCTTCTGGAGGGAGGTTAAAACGAACCACTACGTGAAGGTGTGGCCACCATCCAGAACTAGAAGAGGTGAACAGGGACTTGGGGAAAAATCCCTCAACCTTCCCACAAAAACGCTGGCTCCAGCATCACAGCCCTGGGCCAGCCACTCAAAGAGGAAACCAAGACAGGACTGCCTCTCACCTCCAAAGAAGCTGAAACCACATGGGCACAGGGACCCCTTGATCAATAAAGGTTCCGTCCCAGAAACCACCTGCCTTCATAGGATTAGCACAAAAAGAAAGCATTTAGCCACGCAACAATGCTCGCTGAACACAAGTGAACCATGCAGCCACAGCAGTGTGACCAGACCTCCAGTTTGCTCACTTCCCATGCTCCAGCCCTTGCCGTGTCCTAGGCTTGTCGACTTAAAAGCAGCCTGTGTTGAGCCACAGTCCAGCTTGGATAGATGACCACTGGCCCCGGTAAGGAATCTCACAGGGAAGAGGCAGATGGAGCTCTGTGAGTTGGAGGCCAGCGTGGTCTACAGAGCTAGGGCTGTTACAGAGAGAAACCCTGCCTTGGAAAAAAAGAAAGAAAAGGAAGGAAGGAAGGAAGGAAGGAAGGAAGGAAGGAAGGAAGGAAGGGAGGGAGGGAGGGAGGGAGGGAGGGAGGGAGGGAGGGAAAGAAAGAAAGGAAAGAAAGAAAGAAAGAAAGAAAGAAAGAAAGAAAGCAAGCAAGCTAGCTCACAGGGGGAATGCCATTGGCCTGCAGGTAGGAAACCTCACACTCCCCAAGTTAAGACCAAAAGTCTTAACTTTTGTTAAGTGAGGATGATCCTGGAGGAATGTATACAAAGTGGGAGGCGGGGGAGAAGGAGAGAGAGAGAGAGAGAGAGAGAGAGAGAGAGAGAGAGAGAGAGAGCACAGAATAGCCCGTGTTTGGGCTGGTGAGCAGCACGGGGAGGTGAGGAGGTGAGGAGGTGAGCAGGGCATTAGATTAGCACTGGGATGCTCTCCTGCCAAATCCCTGGAGCAGGCAGCTGAGCTCTTGGGCCTCTAAAGTCTACTAGGCCCACAAGGCCCCTGTGTTTTCCAACATGCTGTAGGTACCTGGTTCAGGCATCTTAGCTGCCCCACCTTGCAGCCACCAATTCTAGGCTCTGCCTGGAGCCTCACCACTGTGTCCTCCAGTGTAGTGCCTGTTCCTGTGTGCTCAGAAAGGAAGAAGATGGGCATTTCTAACCTACCACCAAAGTCCCTCCCCTCTCAATGCAGATGGACACATAACAATCACCGGGGCCTTGCAGGTTCCTGGCATCCCTGCACGCAGGCTCCCTAACTCACCCCAGTGGCTTCATGTTAAGTGGCTTGCTGCCTGTCACTAGATGTTCTAAACAGCTCAGTTACTGAGGCTTTTCTCCTTTGTTCACTCTGAGCCACGCCCTTACCCTACCTTTCCTGCCAGAGCAGGACACCTACTGAGGCAAAGTGACCTTCCTGCTGTGAATGGATGCATTCTGCTGGGTCAGGATCGAGGTGACTGTCTTTGGGGTCCATTGACTCTAGACATAGACTAGAGCTAGGCCAGAAGGACCTTGGGCGGAAAGGAAGAGGTCTAGTAAAAGAGTCACACGATATCAAAGCCTGCAAGTGCACAGGCATCGTGGCCCCACAAGCTGTCTCTCAGCAGTGTGACCTAAAGCCAGGTACGGACTTCCTCCTTGCTCACTTGGCTCCCCCACCACCCACCTAAAAGCCACCACCTACTGATGGTGTCTGTCTGCTTTCTCTGGGTGGAGGGCGGCGTGTCTTGGCACTACACCACCTCCCGAACACATGCTGTAGGAATGGATGCTCAGATCCAGAATGGAGACCCAGCATCTTTTCCCCACACTTTAGACTTCTGGAGGCCGTGACAAAACCATCGAGGTAAGCCTGGGGCCGAGCCGCTCACTGATTTGTCAGCAAGGCTGTTGGCTTTTGAAACTAGACAGGAAGGAGGGTTGAGGTGGAGTCCCGCACAGGAAGAGCTGAGGAGCTGAGCTGCAGTGACAGTGGGTGAGCGCCTGCGGACTGCAGGATGTGGTGGGTCTGTCACTCCTGGCTCTGGTGTGCTCAGTGTGGTAAACTCCCCTGATCCCTTCAGAGAAGGTTCCCTCAGCTCCGGACAGACCAAGGCCCCAGCCTCAGCCGGCCTGCCACTGATTACCCAAGGCGTTCCACCACAACGGCCTCCTGCTCACCAGGGCAGCGCTGAGCCCAGGAGCATGCAGGTGGAACCCTCTGGGCACCCACTTTAGCACCCTGGAGCAGCAACAACGGCAGGGAGGTAAGTAGAGTCCAGAGCACGTCAGTGCGGGAGCAGGGGAGGAGTGGGGACAGAAGCTCTTAAGGCCTGAGCTATTCTGAGCATGGGGAGACTCCAGAACACTGACCCCCTGGGTGCCAGCAGCTGCTGGGGCTGGATGCCTCAGTGTAGAAGAAGCTCACATGTGCCCTAGGATAATGGTCCAGGACAGGTTCTGGGAGAGAAAGCGCAGCTCCCCTTCCTTGGTGATGGCATGGGAGGAGGATGCATTGCAGGTTGCCACAGGTGAACAGCAATGCTCTTGGACCCCTGCCCCTCCCAAGCTGCAGATCCCAAGTAGGCGGCCCTCTTCTTGGCATTCAGTTCCCATCTGTAAGTGGAGTAACAACTTCAGCATCTGCCACAAAGGTTAAGAGAGGTGATACACACAGCTCCAAGGCCCAGGTCCCCTAAGTACCTCCTCCCCGAGGGGCACTCCTAGCCATGCCCTGGGGGACTGATAACCGTGGGAGAGCTTCTGTAAGAGGTGCTGCTGCACAGCCAGCCGAAACCCCATGGCCATAGGGAGTGTTAGCTCTGGTAGCCACCCCATGGCCATAGGGAGTGTTAGCTCTGGTAGCCACCCCATGGCCATAGGGAGTGTTAGCTCTGGTAGCCACCCCACGCAAAGCTCTTAGGCCCTGGGGCTCCACTCAGGCCTAACTCTAAAGGCTCACTTCAGCCATCCCTCAAAGGCTGTATCTACCTTCATGCTGGGACTCCAGGGCAGGGCAGTAAGTGTCTCCTTAGGCTCTGCTTCTGCCTTCAGGATGCTCGTAGTTGCCATGGTGCTAGGTGAGGCCTCGGAAGCGGGATGCGGGTGAGGGCTTGGTAATACGGAAAGCCCGAGGTACTGTGGCCAGAGATCTGAGTATTCCAGGTGGCAGCCATCACAGTAAGTCCCACCCACTTTCTAGGCCAAGGTAGGCAGGGAAAAGCAGCCATTTGAAAGGAAATTTGCAGGTCCAGCCCTGGGAGAAAAGCATGAACAGAACAGGCTCCACCAGCCGTAACGCTCCGCCAGAACCAAGACGCGATAACACAGGCCTTCCCAAAGCATGGTCTCCTCATCCTGTTGGTCAATAGCAGCAGTAAGATATCATCTGTGGGCCTCTTGTTACAGTAAGCAGTGGTCCACGCCTTGACAGCTCCCTACCAGAAAGTATGACAGGGGCCCTCGTATCCTGGCATGGCTCTGTTCGGCCTAACTACGCTAATATTTTTACACAGTTGCCAACTTCAGTTTTAAGTCAAGATATACTTTATACCAAGGGAAGTGAGCTCACTGGCTCTGTGTGCATGTTCTTACGACCACTAACATCAACGGCTGGAAACGTTCCTGACATCTCCTGTGCCCCCCTCAGGTAGAAGCAACCCCCCCCCCAGAGTGATTATTTTAACGTCTATCATTTCAGATCGGTTTGGCCTGGTTTTAAGCTCTCTAGAAGTGGAATCCTAGAACATGTATTTTGTAGCAAGCCATGAGGTCGTCTGTGTGGTAGACTGGGTCAGCAGTTTGCGTCTTTTCGTGTTCCCCAAATTTCCCATGCTGTGGT